TATAGATTGCTAAAGGAATTCGCTTTTCAATATGTTTCCCTTCTCCAAGATCAATAGACTGGAATAAATTCATTAGAAGGTGCTTAATAACATTGCTCTAGAAAACTGAACTAAACACATGAAATCCAATCACCCCTAATTCACTGTTTCTGAAGCATCATATTACTTAAGAGGGGCATGAAATTACCAATAGATCAATCATTCCACTGATCCAAGTTTATATGAAGATCAAACAGATGAATGAATAGACGATGTAATAATATCGTATTAGGGGAAAAAAACCAGATATTTATTACACATCCATATTCAACACATTACAGAAGCATCAATATACAAATATGCCAATAAATAGCACCAATAAGGCACAAGTGGAATATGACTTAAGAGAGTATAGACATACCAAATTGGTGGAGTTATGGCCAAAGGCATAATCAAAAGTGTATCTACGCTCCTTTGTTCGATTCTGTATGCGATCTAGGTAGTCCTTTGAAAGGTCAGGATCCAAAACAACCACCTCCTACGATTGCCATTAGTAGTAGATTACTTCCATTCTCCTCAAATAGTTATGAAATCTAGCTCCCTTTCTCTTTTAAATCTAGAAAAGCATTTATAAAAGGACAACAAACCTGATCATTGTGCACTCTAACTATATCACGGCCACATTCTCTCTCAGTTAATGGCCTACATTTCACAGCAACCTACACTCGACCAATGAATTGCAATAAGAAGTCTCCAAGCAGTGTAGGACAAGCAAAACAATAAAATGGCACTAATTACATCAAATTTCGCCAAAAATAATGAACATACAGTGAGAGTTGTGGTTTTCTTGGTGGGTGGAGCTCTAATGCTTGGCATCTTCAGGCCACATTCCTTTCCTAGAATCTAGCTTGAATCGTTTCTCCAATCTTTGAATACCTTTGCCGATGAAATAACAAATCTTCCTCCAAAATTCAATACTAGAAGAAAAAGGGAAGGGGGGGGGGGGNGGGGGGGGGGGGGGGGGGGGGGGGGGGGGGGGGGGGGGGGGGGGGGGTACAAAGCCTAATTACTCTTATATCTGTGCTTATCGCAATTAATCAGAAATTAAGCTTTCGAATTTTTAAGTACAAACATCGCCATAATGCAGTTCAAATTGAAAGGCTCGGCTGTCAGAAAAAGAAAATTACAGAAGAAAAATGAAATCTCTCACTTTTGAATCAAAAGTGAAAACAGGATCAATAAACCATTGCTTTAACAAAAATAGCTTTTTAAGCAAACCAGAAGAATAACATCGTTCAAATCAAGGGACCAAAAAACCAAAAAGAAAAGGAATCACCTAAAAAACACCAATCAGCATATTTACACGAATGAATACGACGCCGTCCGGTAATGATTCAAGAGAAATTTGAATTCAGCTAAAAGAACTGGATTCTTGGGAAGGGAAATTCAAAAAAAAAAACTTGAAATGATAAACTGAAAACGAAATAAGAAATTAAAAATTCAACAAACTGGCCCGAAGAAATCAATTTTGTCTCTCTAATCATTCAGCATTCGAGTAAAGCACGACGCGAACGCCATTGCATTTGTAGTAACTGAAGATATTTAATATTTATATTAATAACCCCACTACGGTTTTTTTTTTTGAGACATGGCAGAAGAAGACAGAGTTTAAATATTTAATTTCTACTCTTCCATTGTGGAGGGCAATGGCATGCATTTTTAGGAGCTGGATAATTGTTACCGTTGATCTGATGAAGAAAGTGAAGTCTGGTGTTCGAGGAAAAAGGTGCTTTTGGATTTCTCACAGGCAAAATTCAATTTCGTTAATTGATTATGATGGGAGTTTAGGATATTCTCAGTTTGATGATTGAAACTTCAAAAAGTGAACGTGACCATGCACGAAAAGGTTTTCGGACCTGTCAATGTAATAACTAGGACCAGTTTTTAACAACTTTGTTTCAACCCATTTTTTTTGGAGATTAAATTTTATTATAATAATATTTTTGGAGAATGCGCAAATAAATTAGGAAAAAATTTACGGTCTACGTGTAAAATTATTTTGTCTATTTTAGTAGATTTTGGTAAAGTTGATGAAAGTATGTGATTGAAAGATTGAGTCCCATAAAATGTTTAATTGAAACTTGAAATAATAATGCTATTTGCAGTCGTTCACTGCGGCAGTCGTCCTATATGGCACACACATGTCAAGTGTGTGTTTGATGCATTAATGTGGTAAAAAAATCACCACATTAACACATCAAATAACTACTTGTCATCTATGTGCCACATAGAGCGACTTGTCGCAGTGAGAGACTACAAATGAGTTTGAAATCAGAAATGGGGGTCAAATACAGACTTTATTAGGAACATGTATGATTGAAAATGAGTTCGAAAAAAAATAGTTTTTAAAGAATTGAGATCAAACACTAGCTCACATAATAGTATTAAAAATATTTTTAAAATGAAGTTCAAATATTATTTATTGTATGATATAACTTATTTGAATGGTGTGTGTAAAATGCATTAAAAATATTACCATGACCTTTATTGGGTAAATTTCATAGTTATTAGATCCAGCCTGGTAGTCGATCAGGAAAAATCATCTGGTCATTGGGTCGGTTGTTCAATCGAGGGTCGATGGTTCAATCAGAGGGTCATTGTTATACTGTATTTTTAATTAAAATATATTTTTTTGCAACGAAAAGAAAACCATTATGCTAAATCTAATATATATATATTTCACCCGCATTATATTACAAGGGATCAGTTGTTTCCAAAATGGTCAAGGGAGGGAATTATCATGCTGGACACCCAGGTTTGAATTACAACCAGGACCCACTAAAATAAAATTTTGCACTGCCCTTTATTAAGAAAAAAAAAATGATTCAAATATTGAACCACCTCTTAAACCCGCTTGAACCAACCGGTTATTGAATGTTCAACCGGTTCCTTGGCATATTTGACCAACTAATGCACCCGGATCGGACCGGACCACTATCCGGTTTGACAATTTTCAATCCGAATCAGTCAATCCGATTTTAATAACTATATGTGAGTGATGTGCTCGCTCATAATAACAATTAACAGATTATTCAAGTCTGCATGCATTATGATTGTGTCACTTATGTTGATAGGAGAGAAGATGACCCGTTGCTATTAGTGGATGAATTAAAGGAAACATTGCTACCATTGTTGAAAGGAGTATATTGGAAAATAAAATATTTTACATTTCAATACCGTTGAACAATGAGATTGTATAAATGTGTTAATCAAATGATGTCCTTGTTTTACATGGTATCTCCACAAATAATTTCCCCTATACATGTAGCATAACTCTATTTCCACACATGCAAATAGTACATAGTGAGCTTCAAGAATAATTTCTATTTCAATTTTGTATAACGTGTTACAATAGTGTTGTGTGCATTAAATTGGACAAAATTTGAGACGTCAAAGAATAAATAAAAATAATTCATAATGGGATGGAGACAAACTAAGTCCATGTTTGATCCTCATTCCCTCATTCCAAATCCCACAATTCACCAATTTTTATCAAAATATATTAAAAGTCTAATTTTAATTCAAACCAAACAAATGTTAGGATGACAGAGAGTTGATAGAAGAAAGTGGCATTGTAAAACGATCCGGTCCACAAGCCCAATACAAATCGGCTCATTAAAGAAGAGAGTTCGGCTCAACCTAAATTCTCTCAAAGCGAGCTTGAGCCGTCCATAGGCCGAGTCAAGATGAATCGAGCCCACGAGCAACTCAACATGTTTGCCACCCCTATATCTGGTCTATAAGGAATATCTTTGATTACCTACGATGAATAATAACACTAATAAACATCTTCGTTTGCATAGGATCTTAATCAAACAAGTGAATTTCACACGCCCACATTAAAAGTGGAGTAGCAGACAATCAATTTGCATAAATCGTGGGAAGAAAATATATAGTATATAAATTGTTGGTAAGCAAGTATATTGCAGGAAGTGTCTTCAGATCAGAGACAATCAAAACTGTCAATCGATGTACTAAGATCGTTAATTATCACCAACCATTCACTGCTGCGTGGGATACGATTTGATCCCCACAAAATGGAAGCATATTTGTTAAACGTTAAAAAAAAAAAAAAACCAAGATATAGAGATTTCGAAAACCAGTTTAATGATCAGTTGCTAAAAATTGCTTTGATTCCTTCATCGATCAAGAATTTCGATTTTCATCATCCAATTAGAAGGGGAGCATAGCATGGGGTCTATCATATTCATATCAACTTATTTCCACTTAAGTGCTTGTTTGGGAGAAGAATTTATTTTGAATAGTGATATGATCGGAAATGTGTGGTTGAAAAAGAAGAAAAAATTATTGATGTGATGGAAAATATTATTTTATTGAAGAATGTATGATTGAAAACGAGAATTGATTTACTGTAGAATTTTGAAAATCCCCACCAAACAGGACCTAAATCTCAACCGATGGTATATGAATCAAGGTAAATCTTCAGTCATAATCTCTGACTGAAGAGGCTGAGTGTCGGTGTAAAACATAACAATGTTTACTTTGAATCGCATCCAAATTGTTTGACAGTGAATCGACATTATAGTTTCCTCCACTACAAGGACAAGCCAACGAAAAGTACAATTCAGCCAGCTAAGCGATACATACACCCCATCAACTAGCTTGAATCTGCTGGCAGCAAGATGTACTAAAAATATTTATGGCCTCGAGCTACATTATTGAGATTTAATGAATCTCTACCAAACAGGGCTTAGGGAGAATGTGTGATCTCCACTAAACAGGGACTTATTCTATACATCACAAATATGATACATATCAGACATTAAATCTACTAGTCAAATTACTTAATCTTGAAATAACTTTCATCAACTAAAAGTTAATGAGGTTCAACAGAAGAATACAAATGATTACATTTATGCATATAACCACACAATTATTTCCATTCTATTTCATAAGTTCCAATTCCAGCAGATATTTCTTCCTTGTAATCCAGCAACAGATCAGAATATAGGTCCAGCAGCAAGGATTTCTTCAGTCAACTTGTTGTCCTTCCCAATCTTGTGATTCACAAAAACTTCAAAGTTCTTCTTAAAAAGCCCGGCCAGTTTTAGCAGTGTCTCCTTATAAGCCTTCTTATCCGACCACTGCATTAGTAAATCGAAAAACATCCATAAAACATGGGGAAAAAAACAAAAATGCAATAAAAAGATAAGCTGGCAAACTCACGGTGTTCATTGGTTCAAAGATTTCCGAAGGCACTCCCTCGACCTCGGTTGGAATCTCGAGCCCAAACACCTCAGTCTTTTTGTAGTTTGCCTTCAACAGGCTGCCAGAATGTATGGCATCAATGATTTTTCGAGTGTATGCCAACTTGATACGACTCCCGGAACCATATCTGCATGAATAACCAAGATTCACTCGTCCAAGTGCTTTCGATGCAAATAATAATAAATTCTAAACAAGTTAAATTGATTGAAATTACTTCAACTTATTACATACCTTCCTCCAGACCAGCCAGTGTTGACAAGCCACCCTGTTGCACCGTGCTTCTGCATCTTTGCAGCAAGCATTGCAGCATATTTTGTAGGATGCAACATTATAAATGCTGCCCCAAAGCAAGCCGAGAATGTTGCTTGTGGCTCCTTGATTCCTTCTTCAGTGCCAGCAACCTGTTTTTTAAGTATTAGATTTTCTGTAGTTTTTATTGATTTGCTCCTAACGAAGTCAATTTGATGATTAAATAAATACCAAAGCAGTGTAGCCACTGATGAAATGGTACATCGTCTGTGGCAGGCTTAGCTTGCTCACTGGGGGGAGCACCCCAAATGCATCGCATGCCAGGAGTATGACATTCGTAGGGCGTGGAGCAACACATGGAATTTTAGCATTGGGAATGTATTCGATGGGATAAGCTGCACGAGTATTCTCTGCAAAAAGAGAACAGATGAAACCAATTTATATTTCGAATCAACTTCTTCATAAAACAATAAACAGTTAGAACCTAACTCGTTAGCATAATCAAGAACCTATTATAATGAATACACCATTAAGAGACAAAAATTAATAAGAATATGAAGGTGACATAATCAAAAAATATACCTGTAACAGCCTTATCCGTATAGTCGACTTCTCTAGTATGCTCATCAAACACCACATTTTCCAATACTGCCACCAACAAGAGAGAAATGGTTTACGCATTAATTGAATGCTATCAGCAGCAAATATAGATACATGAAACCATGACAAAAATAATCTGTTTTCTACTAAGAGACAATACCAGTCCCAAATTTGATAGCATTCCAAATTTCGGGTTCCTTTTCCCTTGAAAGATCAATGCACTTAGCATAGCAACCACCTTCAATATTTGATATGCCATTGTCAGTCCAGCAGTGTTCATCATCTCCAATTAAGTATCGGTTGTGATCAGTAGACAGCGTAGTCTTTCCAGTTCCTAAAATCAGAACAAAGAAAAGAAATAACTCTCAAATCAGTAAATAGCAATAGAAGATGAAGCAAAAGGTCATTTTCTTTAAATCAGAAAGTCTCATTCACAGAGTAAGGGTGAGAGGACACATATCAGTTTGGCAGGGCCAGGTCCTCATCGGAAAATGATGATCCGATGATACTTTACCTGACAAACCAAAGAAGAGTGCGACATCTCCATCTTTCCCCATATTGCAGCCAGAATGTAGAGAGAGGATTTGACGCTTAGGCATAAGATAGTGCATTACACTGAATAGGCCTTTCTTCATTTCCCCGGCGTACTGGGTGCCGAGGATGACCATTTCCCTTCTAGCAAGGTTTAAATCTATACTAGTAGAGGATGTCATGTAGTGTGTATAACGATTACATGGGAACTGCCCAGCATTGTAAATAGTGAAGTCCGGAGTACCGAAATTCTCCAGCTCTTCAGGAGTGGGTCGGATACACCTGTCACCCACCCAGTTATCCAATGGTACAAATAACTAATACACTTTTTATTGTGAAGCCTTTCTATAGCTCTAACTTCAAACTTTCTTAAATCTCCCACTAAATTCTATAAAGGGATTATGAAAAATCATAGGAGAATAATATTTGCCAATGAAAAAGAAACTTATCTGGCCGGGCTTAGAGAACATAGAACTGGAAAGGAGAACTGCAGAATAATTGTTAATATCAAATTTCATTAACTTACATGTTATGCATGAACAAGGAATGGTAAGCCCTGGCAGAGACTATCCTGACTTTGATACGGTTCTCTGGATCCCAGTTTAAAAATTGATCATTTACGAAGATCTGAAATCATTAATGAAGAGGTAATAACCATCAATCCTTTCTAACAGGTGTAATACTAGTAAAAGTATAATAAAAAAAAATTTCGGCACATTATTAGGTCTTTCAAGGTACATCCACAACAGAATTTGGGTCAACATGAATTTCCTACATGATGAAATCCTTTCATTACTCCCGTTGGCGCTAAATATGCAATGGTAGTAATAGGGTCTCACTTAAGGATTTGTTTATAATTATCTGCTTATAAGGCAAAGAAAAGGAAGACAAGGATCAGCTTAATTGAAACATTGGCTCATTAGTGGCTTTCATATTATGCAAATCAACATCAACAGATGTGATCATCATTCACAACTCACAAGTCTAGTCCTCACACCTAACTGAGTAATCTTGATAACATACAGCTATAAACAGGTAAACCAGGGGTGTAAAGAAAGCCATTATCTAATGCAAAGCTATTATCACGGTACTCATGATGACATGGATCAAATCCATTTCATATGAAAACAAAAATATTACTCATATAGCTATACATGTCCAAGGATCCAGACGGTACATCTAATTATGACAAGAACATACCATCACCCCTATCTTTGGGATCAAATTCTGACTTGTTTATCCACGAATTGTTAAGTTTATTAATAATTTATGTTTTCCCAAGAGAAAGCACAACTTGAGAAGAATTTTCTTTTCTTCCATTTCAAGGGGAAAAAAACATTAAGAGACATCAGTGGTGTATATTTGGTATCGCATGACTTAATGAGTCCAAGATGAACATGTTGAAACCACCAATCTAAAATTTTAAGCCATTAAACACAAAAAAATATATATAAGACATGTCCTCTACATGTATTTGTTTATTGAGATATGAAGGAAAATATTCCTATCACCTAAATCAGGCTTAGACGATCAGATTAATATTTTTAGACCAATCTACTTCAAAACTAGCACATCTTATCCCGTGTATGAACATGCCTTCAAGAAAAATGATGGATCGACATGACTGACACTACAACAACTAAGATATAAGCCGAAATAGATGTATATACCTTGTCCAAAGAGTTCAAGTAATCTACAGCTCTTTCTCTGTTCACCAAGAATGTCTGCTCATCCATTTCAATGTTCGGTGATCCCCTGTATTATATATTGCAGAAAGCATGATTAAGAAAACATCAAACTTAACCACTTGATTAGGACAAAAAAACTAGGTAAATTTCTTGTGGACAACATAAGCGTGCACGTACTTTCCCCACCAAAGTTCGTCATCAGTTGTCTGATCCCGAACAACACGTTTATCCTTGGGAGAACGTCCAGTCTTGGCCCCCGAAAGGGTCGCCAACGCACCGCTAGACGTAATAAATGAGCCCTTTTCATACTTAATGGCCTGTTCGTAAAGCTCTGCATCCATCATCAAACAAAAAGATTATCACTAGTGCTTCAATAAATTTATTCAGGAAAGTTCAAAAATAGCAGAAATTTACCGGCAGGGGAGAGGTTGTAGAGGATGTGGGTGAATTTCAAAGAACTGTCGCTGACACTAATGGTGGGGGTGACATGGAGGTGGCTCACATGAGAAATCCTGGGGGTTTCAGATTGCTTTGCAGGGTCTCCTTTCACCACATTGGGTCCAGTTTCTCTTGTCAACGACGCCAATGAGGCACTGACCACCAGATCCACCAAACAAGTTAGTGATTGGAGAAACAAAAGCAAAAGCAAAATCCAACAGAGGAAGGAGTAGAAAAAATAGTGGGATTACTCCAAATTTTCAGCCTTGCGGGAGAAACTGTTGAACGCAATCCAATTTTAAATTTTCCTTCAACTTTTAAGGGGAAAAAAAATTAAAAAAATCCATGGACAATAGGTATGAACGCAAGGAATTAATATTTGACTTTGAAATCCAATCACTTATCATCTCTTTCTAACTTCAAATATTTTCAACAGAATAATGTCATTCATCAATTGTGAAGTTTATTAATTTACTTGTAACATTTAGGTTTCTATGATCACCTAAACTTGTTATTACCGCAAAAAAACAAAAAAAAACAAAAAAAAATGAAGGAAGATTCAAACTAAAGATTTTAAAATTCTCTTGAACACTTGTATTTTAGCCGTGGATTTTTGGTGTTATTTTTATTATATGTTTGTTATTATTCCTTAAAATCTTGAGCAAAAATGAACAAATTCTTTTGTTTCAACTTTCAATTACTTTGTGCTCTAAAAGGGTTACAAAACGTATCCTATCAGGTCCCACCACTGCTAATATGTTCACTTTAAGGTAGGGCTGTCCGTGGGTCGATTCGGTTCGGTTCTGAAGAAACTCAAACCGAACCAAAACTTTCGGGTATTTAATAAATGAACCCGTCGAGTCCAAATATAATTATGGAACCGTTCGGGTTCAGTTCGGTTCGGTTAAGTTTTGTTACGTTACGTATTATAATTAAATTTTTTAATATTTAGAATAATACTACATTAATACACAT